TACTTCCGTGATGTCATGCAACAACAAGAAGAGCAATGAAAGTTACCAGCGAAATATCGTATGATTACACTATCCATAATTCGATTTTTCAAAACAATATCAGAAGAGTCAATCTTACTAAGGAAAGTTATCAGCGAAGTATCGTATGATTGCACTATTCATCATTCGATTTTTCAAAATTACATCAGACGAGTCAATCCCATAATCGAGTATTTATCCGCCGCTTTTCCCGTCCATCCGCCGCTTTCACCGCGTTATCCCGCTTTTCCCGATGAAATCCGGATTATTATCACGGTTATTTAGGTTATTATTTGGGTACGCTGATAATTTCCAATTTAAGTCAAAGACAACCAATGATAAGCATGTGCTCATAAAAAAATCCGAATGTGATATCTAAATGTGATATGTTCGTCTTGCCCATATATTGTGCTGCTAACAAGGTAGAGCTTGGTGTTGTATTATAAACAGTCAAAATCACTTGGCGAAGACGTTATGTCATTCTTACCTTTAAGTAATCTGAAAATTTCTTCTTTTACATACGGCATATCAGTTATCACATAGCCGGATTTTTTAAGGTTATTCAAATTATTCTGTACTACATGCAGATCACGGTAAAAGCGGCGGATAAATACTCGATTATAATTTATTGGCTTTTCACATAATAATAATACGTAATAATAATAATAATAATAATACGCAGATTGTAATTATCACTTACATACGCAATCTTCATTCGTTCCATAATTGTTTTATATGCTATAAGAATAGTTGTTAGAAGTCGGAAAGAAAAGCTTATTTTACTGTGTCGATTAGTGTAGCATACATAGATTAGATTGTACCTTTATCTGACATGCAACCTTCATCTTCATTCGGTAACATTATTTCTATATTGCGATAGAATATTTTTTTAGAATTGACAGTCTTGTCGTTGATGATAATGCAACGCTTTTGCTACGATCCAGCAGTTGACTATTGAACTTTTAACCTTCCTCGCTGTTATTATGATTCACGGAATGGGATATCTTGTGTCTCAAAAGCATCAAAACGTCTAAATAGTACTTTATAGATTAATACAATAATGTATTCATCTTGATGTGGTAAAAAGTGACTTAACTCATAAACATGTACTTAGTCCGTTGCTTTTCAGAGGATGAATATTTGACGTGTTATTATCGTCCGTAAGCCAACGGCATAGATACGTAGTTACCCGCTTGTAGTTTGGCTTCGTAGTTGCGCATATTAATAGGCCAGATTCCAACGACTTCGTGACGTCAAGTGTAACATTTCTAATGTCTTAACTCTGGTCATGAAATTAGGACTGTAGTGACTGGAATTACTCCAGATTAGCAACGAGCCAATGAAGAAATCAGGGCCAGAATTTTCGAAGAATTTCTTAAAATAACGTCCTACAAGTCACGGACTGGCCTGCTAACAGTCCAGAATTAAACTCCATCGAAAACTCATGGAGCATCGTTAGAAGAATGAAGAAAAAAGGATGCCACAAAATTTGGAATAATATTTCTGATGAAACTAAATTTAGTTAAATCAATGAAAAATCGTTATCAACTAGTTATTGAAAATAATGGGAAAAAAAATCGATTATTAAAACTAATAAATAAAATTTGCTTGTTTTAAGCTTTGAATTGGTATATTTACTGTTTAATTTAATGCAATTGTTGTGGAACTACAAAAAAATTTAGTGAGGCAATTCATTTCGTCACACATGGTATATTCTATATGTATTGACTAGATACGATTGATGCATACAGTTTAAAATTCTGCGTTGTTCATCTAACAGTTGAGCGGCCTATGGAAAATGGTTAGCTATTTCGTCATGCTTGGCTTTCGGATGTCGTTAGCATATTCAGAAATTTCGCGTTTAGCACACTATTCATCAATCGTGGTATTGGTTAATATCAAATCACATGAGCTGTAAACTAAACCTTATTTGTCAATGGAATGAGAATCCCTGCATTTTAGATGTAATGGAGAAAAGCACCATGATGGATATTACACGAATCACTTTTTTTTCTCCTTCAGATCGAAGAAAAGCTGAATCCTAATTTTTTCGTGTACTACCCGTTCGTGCCTACTCTGTATAAATGTGGAGAACTGTTGGTGAGAGATTATATTATCAATGGTTAAATGCGAGATTCGATCTATATGATTTTTAACGGATTATACTTGCACGAGATAGGTCAAAGGAGTGCACGTGTGTTTCCTGTGCGCCAGCCTCGAGTAAGTTCCCAAATGCCATTTCTCTTCATACAGATGTTCATACAGCCCGCCCATACGGTTGACCCTAATATAACGTTCTTCTAGAATTACCAAATTATTTATAGCAATCCCATTCGACAGAGCAGAAATTTTCCATCGCAAAACGAATTCAGATTTTATACAACAGAACCAAAAACTGTAAAGTCGCAAACAAAAGCGAAGACTCGGTATGCCATAGGGGTATGGCAAATATTAGTAGCATCCCCCCACCCTTTGTGCCTTTCCCTTCTGATTGCAACTCTAAAACGAGTCAATATTTTGCAAAGATTATTGATTGTCTTTTTCAATTTTGAATTCAACCAGCCTTTCACATGGAAAAGTTTGATACTTTTTGTTGCGACTGGTGCTGGGTTGTTGTATCACTTCAGATTAGAGAAAGAACGATTGGAAAAACGTACGAATGGACACTGAGTGTCTTTAGGTTGACCTCTGTATGATGTTCATATCTGTAGACGTGAAAAGAGGGGGGGGGGAACGATCGCAAATACGCTTTCATTGATTGTCGATATACGCTTTTCCGCTCTGATTCTTTTTGATCAGAAAAAGAAGAACGAAAGAAACAACCAATAGGCAAACCAGATGTCGGCGGACCGTTTGAGCTACTTAATCAAGATGGAAAGCTCACGACTAACAACGATTTTCGCGGGAGATTCATGCTTGTATATTTTGGTTTTACGCATTGTCCTGATATTTGTCCCGAAGAGCTGGACAAAATGTCTGAAGTCATTGAGCGGCTATGTAGGTATTTGGGGAGAGAAGTTCGCGTGTTACCAGTCAGATTGATGTTATATACGTTGGCTAAGTCTGTACTCTTACGCTTGTCCAGATAATGATAATGAAGTGGGTAAAGTAATAGTTCCCATTTTTATTTCTTGTGATCCTCAGCGTGATACCGTAGAAGCAGTACGCGAATATCTAAAAGGCAAGTTTACGTAATGGTTTCTAACCCAATACGATTATCCTCCGCGTGTACTAACTTGTTAGACATATAAATTCAAAGACTTTCACAAAGATATGGTTGGTCTGACCGGCACCTTTGAACAAGTTGCCAAAGTAGCAAAAGCCTACCGCGTTTACTTCAGTCGGCCGCCTGATGTGGAAGAGGGAGAAGACTATTTGGTTGATCATTCAATATTCTTTTATTTGATGGACGGCAATGGAGAGTTCGTGGACGTGTTTGGAAAGAATATGACAGTTGAGGATATTACAGACAAAACTAAAAAGTATATTAAGAATTACATATCCGATGGTGGCAATCTTGTGCCGTTAGAGAAGACAAGATGATTGGTGGTAAGAAAATACAGTACAATAACTTGTTGTTGAACTTAATAACGTTCAGTCTTGGATCTTAGTAAACCGACCCAATCCAGTATCGATACAGAGACATTGTTGCGTGTGTGTACTTATGGAATTTTATCTCTGCTTCTCATACATACTTGAAAGTTATTAGCAGATTTAACAAGCACAAATAATTGCTATATTACGAAAATTGATAATGTGGGTTGGTAGTCGATGATAGAGTAAATCGTTCAATTAATGATGTTATACCATTCTGCGACTGTCCGTCTCGTCTTTTAGCCTAAAAATTGAATTGGCTCTCTTCTTTCCGAAATAATGTCGAATAAAGAAGATAACAAAAAGGTCAATTTTATATTAAGGAGACGTCTATTTCTGACCAATGGCGTGCGATTTAACCCAAGTCCGAGTTTGTACCAACTCTGTAACTCCCTTCTCCATTCGCAGCACATACTAGGACATAATATACGAAATGAGCAGGCTCGACAGTATTGATCGTTTCATAATGCTAATATTTATATAACGCGTGCATGTAGTTTATTGAGCTTTATTGTTAATAAATGTCATTCTCTCCCGATTAAAGAGAGTTTATTTCAGCTTAAGGTATGTATACATAATGGCTATGGAGACGTTTATAAAGGCTCAAATATATACTCAGTATATTAATATATGTATACTATTAGTTTACAGCAAAGGCACTTAATCGTCAAGCTAAGAAGGCCACTAAAGATGAAGGTACCGAGAAAGCAAAACTTAAAAAAGTGCGTCTTCCCTCCTATATTGCCGTTATCTTTTCCAAAAATTCGTTGAATACAAATCAGTATATTTGCAGGCTATACAACAAGGTGATGTGGAGAGTGCTCGTATATATGCGGCCAACGCCATTCGTAAGAAGAACGAAGCTTTGAATTTGACAAGGTTGTCTTCGAGGATAGATGCTGTTGCAAGCCGAGTGCAGACAGCAGTGACGATGCAAAAGGTCAGACGATTTTCGATTAGGGTGATGCTTTTATTCTGGTATCCTACACTAAATACCCATTACAATTTTAGGTTACGGGATCGATGGCAAATGTGGTAAAAGGCATGGACAAAGCGATGGAAACTATGAATCTTGAAAAGGTGTGCTATTGAACCGTTACAAGATTATTTCCTATGGTACGCTTATTACTCGCGCATTATTATATACGGATCCCTTATTCCTTCTTTCTTCTCTTCTCATCAATAAACACAGATTTCGATGGTAATGGATAAATTTGAATCACAATTTGAAGACCTCGATGTACAAACGCAATACATGGAAGGTGCTATGGGTAATACTACTACTATGTCAACACCTCAAGAAGACGTTGATCTCCTTATGCAGCAGGTTGCAGATGAGGCTGGTTTGGAGTTAAGCCATGCGCTGGGTGAGGCCGTCCCTAGTAGCATTCTTGGGTCTGTAGATAAGACCAGTGAAGAGGATAAAGAATTGACAGAAAGGTCAGTTAATGTTAAGGAAAATATCGGGAAGAAGACGGGCAGAGATGCGAGTATTTGTAACAATATTTAATACCCCCTTATGTTCATATTGTAGATTGAAGGCACTAAGAAATCTTTAGCTTGGCTTTCCCTTCCCGACGGATTTTTTTTTCTCTTCTATTTACTTAGATGTTTGATTGTATTTATGATCTGAATTGAATACTTGAGAATAGAATTAGACGAATTCATGATTTGTATGATTTAAAACATGGAAATTTCTAATTGATGTCTATTTGGCTATAATTCGAGAACTGAAGTTATTGAAACGGAATATTATTCTTAAACTGATAGTACACAGTTAAAAGAGAGGGCAAATGGAATACTACTAAAGTGTCTACAGCTGTAAACTTTTTTGTAAATATTTCCATTACCTCGCATAACAGTATAATGGTTATCCGATCCGACTTTCTGCAATAAACCGTACGATGTGAACGTAGAAGTTTTCAATGCAATTATTAAGGACAATTCTTTACGTGTTATAGTATCATGGATTTTTATACGGCCATTCGGTAAGACTTTGCAATAATAATACTTAATTCCAAAGAAACAAACAAGCGTTTGCTATCGCGGTTGACGTATTCTAGAAGGGACCACGAACGTTGTTTGAAACGATTAATAAAGGTGCGAGTTCAGTTTTTCCAGCGATTTTGATCGTAGAAGCTTAATCCTTCATTAACATCTTTTCGTTCATGTTCTTCCCAGAAATTTATCCAGGGCGCTGCGTCTTAACACATGGAACATCCTCTTTATCAAATATGACTGAAGGCCGTGGACAGAATTCCATCCATTGAATGTGGGATAATAAGACTGAAATCGCTAAGTTACAAAATATTACTTGGTTGTTAACATTAAGTATAGCGCTAAAAATATTGCGAGAGGTGAATCAAACTATTTGTCATAGTCACCGGGAGTGGTAATTAAAAAAACGCGTCAAATTTAATCATGTTAATAGTTCTATGTTTATAAGTGATAATCTATTACTATACCAGCTTACGGAAATTCGATTAACATCTATTTGAGAATACTGGTCGCCGTAGTTCGGGCGAGACAGAAAAAGTCTCAATAACAAGGAATGTCAAGAATGAAGTCTATCCGATGGTAAATAAGGTTTAACTCATTCTAGTAATAGTAATCCAATTTTCATTTATAGTTCAGAAATAGAAAGATTTGTTGATAATTCAGGAAATGTAAGTTATGGATGTTGAATGAGTTTGTTATTTATGAACATGATTATCATAGTAATAGTAATAATAATAGTAATAGTGACTCTTATCCTATGTATTTTTGACCAGAGGGAGATTTGAACTACCTTCTAATGCTCGATCTACTCCTCGGATATGATTATGACAATAAGTATGCATTACATCGCTACAAGTTATGGAAATGCAATGACTCAAACGTGCAAGGAAAATTGGTAAAAAGACTCAAGCGTGCATGGATTCAATGCTCAGAAACTCGTCTTACGCTATACATGTTTACAAAATATTAGAATAGCCTTAACTATGCCTTCAATTATCTCCATTTTTCTCTTTTAATGCGTTGACATCACTTGATTTGTCTATGTCCTCGTGCTTAAACTTATTTACTCACTTATTATTGGCTGCTTGGAAATTAACGTCTATTTTTAATTTTTGTCGTGTTTCCAGGAGGATCATAATAGAAATTTAAAGAAAATAACAATTGTCATTGTGGACATTGTTCAGCATGTTTCCAACGCAACAAACTTCGGTGTAACGTTATAAGATTCACTTAAAAGACGGGATCTGCGTCAAACATGACCATCATCTCTTTACTCGCTACACTACACGTCTCTAACGGCATTCAACATGTCTAGTTCCGGTTATGGTTCAGGACTCGGACCTAATTCCCAAAGTCAGCCCAAATTAGTGTTCTGCCATGGCTGTAAGAAGGACAAGCCGCACCATACGTTCTCTAAAACTCAGCTGGCCAAGCACATGTCTAACTTTTCTAATCGTTAGTATCCGGACAGAAGTCACAAAATATACTTTATGGTCGTTAGGCTAAATCGCTGATCTATCAAGTATAGACGCGATGTTGTAGAGACGATTTCATGTTTGTGTGTTTGTGAAGGAAGTTTGATATGATGCCGTTTTCTACACGACTTGACCGGTTGTCTTTTGCGTGTTTTTTCCTTCTCTTAGAATACGCTCCGAAAGGAAGAACCATGAAACTACATCATACGATGTGTAAACAATGTACCCCACAACAGAATTTGAAACTAACTTGTATGTTGTGCACTAGAACCAAAGCACTCGACGAATTCGCCAAGGTAAAGCCAATTATCCAGATAGCAACCAATACAGGGTATAAGTAATGTCTACTCATTAATAAGTAGTTCGTGAGTTGTTAATGTGTGATTGTATTATTAATAGGCACAGCGTAAAAACGCGGAAAAGGCAAAATGTAAAGTCTGTATGAAAAAACGCGACGAACAAGATCTCACGGATAGTGAACCGGACTCTGACTCTGAGGGAGAATACAACGATACATGGGATGACATTCTTTAGATGTGCTAAACGACGAGGTTCGTGACAAGCATGACATTTTTATGAATCCCATTGTGAAAGACCAACATGTATTGATGATCTGTTCGTTGTTTTGCTTCTTGATCATATTGTTTGTCTAGAATTCATCTTTCGATTATATCATCCGTAAACTCGTTATAAATGAGGAAGTGAACTTTATATTTATATAAAAATGCCATGTTCGTCTTCGTTGTCAAATAAAACAACCGTCACCCAATTTTATTAAATTTTGGTTAAATTATTAAACAATAATAATGTGTTACCTTGCCATTGGTTCATGAACCCGGACAATCAATTAACTATTTCTTTAGTGTTAAAAAGGATAAACGAAATCGTTCAGTCTCATGCACAGCAACGACATAATATCGACACATGTGAGATACGTTTACTTAACTGCAAAATGTAAATCCCAAGTATCCAGCCACATCATGCGTTTTACTTCTTCTATACTTAGACCTGGCGTTCCGTATGTTATCGGAGCGAAAAACCAGAATATCACTGCTATGCCTCCAAGTAACAAACCTACAACTAGATAGGATGTCCATGGAACATCTGCGTGCAGAACCTGACGAACTGGTTTCTTTGTCAGAGGGGGGTATGAAACGGGATAATTAAGCGAATTAACAAACATGAAATTAAACATGACAGCCGCTACCAGATAAGAACATAGTAGCGCAGGGAGATAGTGATGGAGAAAGAGTGCTCGCCCCATTAGGAAGAACGGGCCGTAATGGAGCAGCCATGCCATCACGAAGAATCCCGCAGAGTTGTAGAATCTATTTCTGACAGCTAAAGAACATGAATGCAAATAAGCTTTTATATTCGATAGGTATGGTGACATCAAGGCATTATTACTCACGTGGATGTAGCGGCGTCATTCCTCTTCGTCGCGAAATAACTTCTGCTCCAAAAATACCAACAAATACTGAAATCGATCCTATGCTCAGCCACCAAGTGAGTGGATTTCCAAGTAGATAAATCTGTGATCTACTATCATTTTTTGTCCAGAACGATATTCCACGAACTAAAAATGGCCAGTTTATTGGAGAGCTTGCGTATGGGTGGGATTTAGTAAGTCCAGAGTTGTGGGCAATCATAAGCCGTTGGAGTTCGAAAAATTTATAAATAAAAGGCATTTCCTTTGGAGGTTTCTTGGGCTTTTCGACTTCAGTCACTGAAGAATAATTAAATAGTTAGAAAGGCAATAAAGCAGAAGGAATTGCCAATTTTTAAAAAATATGTGTAATTACCATTCTTCCCGACAATTTCGTCGACGTACCAAAGATTACTCTTTTCAACATTATTCTTGTTTCCATTAACTTCTTGTTGTTTAAACGCCCATTGCGGCAAAGCCTCCTTATGCGTCCATAGTGCAACCTTTGTGCTATAATGTAGCAGTCTTGTATAACTAGCTTTACTCTTCCATACAGTATTTGACTCTCCTTTTTCAATCAATACTTGGAATACTGTCTCGTTATATCGGGAATCGTCTTCAACAGATATCGTAGTAAATTCTTGATTAGTGGGCATCAGTGGTGACGCAACATCGTGCGTTAGGAGATGAGAGTGAGTGTTTACGTGTTCCAAACGGATGTGGTCGCCATGCTTGATAGTATCATTCAATGGTCGATCGGCTGAATCAAGGAAGGGAGTAGCTGGCTTCACGATCCAGTGATTATTGCTATCTCTGTGTGGATACCCTGTTACTTGCTGGCCTGGAGATTTTAAAGAGGATAAGGCATCACAATAAAAAGTCATATTCATCTTTTCGAATCAGTGAGCAACAGGCGTAGTTGTTGTTAATCTAATTACCTTGACTGCTTATCCTCCCGTCGTCGTATCGTAAAGGATATTTTTGAGGATGCGAATGTAGAAACACCGAAGTATCCTTATGTTTCAGAGAGATCGTGTCGCCAAATCTGATTTCTGTTGAAAACGCAATAATTATTCAACTAATCTTAATCAAAACAAGACATATCTCTTCCTATATAGGTACCATGACTTTCATAACTCAACGAGTTTCCCTTCAAAGTAAGTTGGAACTCGGGACTCATAAATGCATCTCCAGGACCACTGCCGTTAAGAATGGCAAAATGCACATAAAACCAGAATAGATAGATGGCGATCGGGATTACGATTAGACAAACCGCACGAGCAAAGAAGTGACTTCTAAATTGTTGCTGTTTTTGATTTCATTGGCCAATGTTAATATCATGTGATAGTTTTATTGTCACGTGATATTGCCCTAAGCATACAGACCATACTTAGACCACGTCTAATGTCCAATAGCTCCCACAGATCAGACAAAACAGCAAAACCAATCGTAGCAACAGTGAGCAGTCCGACCATCTTCACGCTGTAAAAGCATTTTTAGTTCACGTCTGCACGCTTGGTGAACGACAAATGTCGCGGGCATCGTCTCACCTCATCGTCAAACCAAGTAAAACTCCGGTGATTGTCAACCATAACCACCAATCTGTAGAGAATGGACTATATAACAAAGAATATAAATTAGGGGGAAAATACCCGTACCGTAAAAATCATACAGATAATTAACGCGACTGGCAAGCTTACCTTAGTCGAAACTTGTAAAACTTGATATAAGAGTACAAAGTACACGTCATAAAGAACACAAGCATTGCATCGAGTAAAATCAATCTCGTTTGGGTAATCAACGCATTATCTATCAAATAACAAAACTGCTCAACAAGCCATTCAAATCCGAATCAATGTCTCCAACCAAAGTCCTCAAACTTCACTTTCCCTGTTGATTATCTTACCAAACAATACAAGCCCTGCCGCGAAACAAGCAGTGATAACGGGGTATCCCGATTCAATCAAGATCAAATAAGTCAATGGCACCAGCAAACCTCCAAGGGTAGCAGGTAACAATCTTAATCCAACGTACGGAACGTTATTTTTTATGTAATCATCGCCAATGTTATCGAACTCAAAGTGTCCATCATAACCAAGAAACCAACCCATTGCCGCTAGCATGAGTTTGGCTAAAGGAGGATGAACGTCGAAGAAATACGTGCGTTTCAGGTAGAAACTTGCAAATTTGCCAAAATGGACTTCGTCAAAGCTGATAAATTAGATTTGTGATAGATCCACGATGTAGGTGGTTAGGAGCTCAATTTGTTTCTTACAGAGAATGCAAGTGAGGACAGGAATTGGTTAAGGAAGCTGAAAACCAGTCGTGGAAATTTAAATAGACTTACACAACTTCGCTTGGATTACTTATATGCCAAAATCTTGTTATGAGGCCAAGGCCTGTAACGACTATTAACATCAAATTAGAAAAGTCGTCTTCTTCAGGTTGTGATGGCGACTCATCCTACATTTGAAGCTCTATAAGATATAATGCTTTCGAATCAACGTGAATGCTTTCCATCCTTTATACCTTCGTTTTATCTTCCGAGTTGGTCTGGGGAAAAAGTTCTTCTTCGGTTTTAGCATCAAACTTTTTGCCAGCCCGTTGCCGGATTTCTGCCATGGCTCTATTGGAGGAAAAGTAGTCTAGAGAAAATGAAAAGCTCTTTGTGCAAATAATTTTGCAGACAACTGAAACACGTGTTGTTCTATTGCGTAACTCTGAGTATTTTCAATTCTAAGCAATACAATTAGGCATACTACTTCAGGATTCAGGTTACCGGGAAGTATATGGCGTTTGCTATAAGCACGAGAATTCATAATGAATGGATTTGGTATTTCAAAATGGCATTCGAATTCGGAGCATTCGGTTGTATTATTATTATATAATTTATTACTCATGACATACTGTCGCATCGATTATAGTGAATCTACGCGTGCATTTGAGCACGATGAAACCAGCATGCAACGTTCAATGAATACCCTCATCTAATTTAAGTTAGTTAAGTCAATTGCAGAAAGATTAAAAAGAATTGCTAACATAGCAGCCATTGACAACGATCTCGGAATAGTTAATACGTGACCAAACGAATTTGGGAATCGATAATTCGGGTTACATTAAATCATGGTTGGCGTAGAGAAATGTCGTCAATGCGTATGTGAATCTTCAGCTAGAACTTATTTTAACGACCAATAATGCAATCTGAAAAATTAATGCGTGATAATGACCCAATCAGTTGTGCAAACGTCATCAGTTTGAATAGCGTGACGTTTCTTTAAATTTACAGAATATGCGTGTGTGGAGAATGCCAGCAATTCATATTCAAACAAGATGAACGGAAACTGGTGTCTTATTGAAAGCGATCCAGGTACGTCTTCTGCAAAGCGTGAAACTAGTATTGTTAAAGTGTATTGGTCGATTTACGCATGGGCTATAGTGGGAATTTCACAATAGCGTCATACCTAGACGTGAAGTTATCGTGAACAAACAGATTGGTGGAAGCAGAGGCAGGAGTTTAGACAATGGATAAAAGCAGTATCAGTAGTCTCTCTTTCAACTTTAAACAATATCGCAATGCTCATGAATTCTATAGTGACAAAGCAAGCGACAGCCATTATCTTTGTTACATTATTAGATGTGAAGATTTATTATCGGTTACAAGTATTCGTCGAGCTCATATGTCTTTGCCTGTCCTCCTGCAAAGCAGTTTCTTGCAACAATGTCTCGAGAAACATGAAAAGACGTTTAATTGATTGTTTTTCTTGTGATTACAAATAGGCGTGTTTACTGATTTAATACGTGCACTACATGTGAAAGGAACGCAAGTAGAAGAAGTATGGAGTCTGGACGATCAGACATTGGAAGAACTCAAGTAAGTTGGAATCCCCAAATTATCTGGGAAAGTCCGGCTTAAATTCTTATGCCCAGTATCAAAAAGAAAAGTATTCACTAGTTCTTTTTGTTAGACCAATTTATGGGTTGATATTTTTGTTTAAATGGCAAGGCGGTAATGACAGTTCACAAATTCCACCTGAAGCAGACTTGAGCCTTGATGATGACGTTTACTTTGCAAAACAGGTAGCGGCTTTGGAAAGAACGCGAAGTTTACCGAAATATGTGTCTATTTGGAGCTGGTTTAATTGTTCGCCAAGATTAAAGTTGGCATTTGACATCTAATTCTCGACATCAATTGGCAGGTAATTAACAATGCCTGTGCGACTCAAGCAATCTTATCCATTCTGCTCAATTGCCCATCAGTTGAACTGGGGAGCGTTTTAAGTGAATTCAAAGACTTTACACGAGATTTCAATGCATACGTACGTCATTTCTGCTCTATTGTACCTTCCCGAGATTGACATTACAATCTCGTTCGTTTTGACTGTTTGACTAACTATTATGCAACCGACGATAGGATAGAGGTCTGGCCATGACAAATAGCGACTCCATTCGAACCGTACACAACAGTTTTGCGCGTGCAGATCCTTTCATAACCGAACCCACGAGAGCAGCTACCGAAGATGACGATTTATTTCATTTTATCTCATACATACCAGTAAATGGTGCTTTATATGAATTGGATGGGCTCAGTGCTGGTCCAGTGAATTTGGGTAGGGATACCATTCGTTCTTATTCACTTCGATATTCCGTGTTATAGGCGGTGGAATTTCTAAAAAAACGGAATGAATTTTAGTAAATGGCCTCGTACACATCTAACGGCGATTGATGGACGTTTAGGGCCATGTACCGCAGACAATTGGCTTGAAAAAGCCCGCGAAGTTATACAAGAACGAATGGCTCGTTATGCCGCTTCAGAGATTCGATTTAATTTATTAGCAGTCATCAAAAATCGTGCAGAATTATATCACGAGCGCATATCTGAGAATGAAAGCCGGCTAATGGAAGCATCCGCATCAGGCGACTCTGAAACAATTATGAGATTGACAGAAGAGAATTCAGTATTATCACAAAAGATAGAAAGGGAACACGAGAAATTCCGCCGTTATGAGGTAAACAGTCGTAATACTGTCCAACTATAATCTCGACACTTGCTGACTTTTTGTTACTTGTTTAGCGCGAGAATTCTCTCCGGAAACATAATTTCATACCGCTTATATACAAACTTGTTCAAATTATGGCGGAGCGGGGCGAACTAGAAAATAGAATTGAATATGCCAGGCAGCAAGCAAACAAGAGACAGAGGGATCGCGCCGAAAAGAAGAAGCAAAGTGAGGGAGCATAATAGTCGAACTAGAGAAAAACAATCAATCGCTCGTCCTTGGACTATATTTTTACTTTTGAATAAAAAGGAACCACTTGAATTACAGACTATGGTTAATTCATTTTTTATTTCAAATGAACGATCAATTTAGAACCTAGTTATTGAGGCGAATATATCAAGGAAAGGATTTAGCTGATTAATCCATACGATGATAACTGTTGCTTTAAACCAAAATTATACTTACTTGGCAAATTGTTTTGAACCTTTTTGTACTTTCTTTTGATGTTTTATGACATTAAAGCGAATGGTTTTGGATAAGGGTCTTTGGTAGCATTTCATTCGATATTCCAAAGAAAAGAATGTGAGAAAAAATTTACGAGCCATATTGTAGAGACTGCAAAACAGACAAACATTTCACAATAGATCAGAATTACTGCTTACCGACATTGACCAACAGTGACATGGTCGCCAACCTGGTTTAAAACGAGAACAGTTGACACACATAAGTATTTATCAATCAAGTAACTTTGTCCATCTCACATGCGAATACACAGTACCTGAACATCGAGAAAGGCAGGTGATAGATGTGCGGCCAGATTCTTGTGGCGCTTCTCGTAACGGTTATATTTGGGTACGTAATGTAGATACTCTCTACGGACAATGATTGTCCTCTTCATCTTGTTAGAAACAACGACACCCGACAGAATACGACCTCGGATCGATACTTGTCCTGTCCATGGGCATTTTTTATCAATGTATGTACCCTCGATGGCTTCTTTTGGAGTCTTTATGCCAAGACCGACATCTTTATACCAACGTATTGTTTTTGCCTTTTTACCAACAGTTTTGGCATTGAGAAAGATGCCTTGCTGCTTTTGGAAGGCTTTTTCAACCTGACATGGATCAATTCGAATTATCAATCATTTTCACAAGGCATAGATTTCCTTTCCCAACCCCAAAATTGCTCATGCAAATTGACTAGAATGTGCGTGTCCAACGTCTATAGTACCTGTTCAGACATGTTGGCTATGAATTCTAAAAAGAACGAGCCCACAGAACGAGGAAATGCGAAAGAGGGAGACAAACGTGAAAAATTTTCCAACGTTCATATAGAGTTGGGAATGAACGATTTATGTTACACGAAGTACAAGTCATGTGAAGTAACGAGCCGCGTAATATTTTAAACAAGAGGTTGAAGTCGGTAATGTCAAATTTTGGATCCTTCCGGTCATTATGTAACTAGTTATGATTGTTCTTTGTTAAATTGTACCATAGCCAAGGCGCGTGACCCTAATACCGTTCACCCTCCACGAGTATGGTTTACGTCTAGAGAGTGTTGCATGATAATTCTTGCGACCATCCAATGGGAAAGTAATGCAGGAATAAATTATATTAATATACAGGACAATTATAATATGATGAATGATTGCACAATGGTTGCAAGAAAGATTGGAAGACGATGACTGAATGGATTCTTGTATTAGCATCTCCCGGTCGCCTTCTTAACGATCTCCCTATCTCTAGAATACGGCACAAATCCCATCTTGTACTCTCAGAAGGTTAGTCGTTGTCTCGATCTTTTGAACTTGGTATGGCTATAACTGTTTGTTAATATACAGGTAGTCCTTTAAGGTGGATATTGAGGACTGTGTTAGAAGAATGTATAGTATTCTACATTGCAAAGGTCTTATGTCTCCTCGTAAATGAAGCCGAATAAAAAAAAAAGGAATTGGAAAACCTTTGCCCTATGTGTGCTGTGCAGCGAATTCGGATTTTATTTTGGTATGTTGTATTCGACTGATTTACCGGGAATGTCGCGCTATTTATTTGCTTGCCAATCAATTTCCAAATTTCGAGTTTCTTTTTTTTTTCCTCTTTTCCCACTCGATCATTATCCATCCGTCTTGCTAACAGTTTGCTATCGACTTGATACTATAGAGCATGGTTTAATGGCATGAGATGCGTTCATTTTCGCTGTCTAGATGGATATCAGAAAAGGTTTTCCGATGTTTGCTATTGGTAAGTATATATATCTCGCACAGGCAATTGTTTTTTTTTTCTATGATGAGCAACGTACCGTTCGATTCGCAGTTTCCACCGAAAGGGTGTAAATCCCTGGTGATGGTTAGCAACATTACTTCCTTGGATGGCTGATAAATAACAGTCATATTACGAATGATGAACATAATACAGAATAACTTTTACTAATCATTTCGATTTGATCCTTGCTTGCTTCTTCTAGTCGGTCATTGTCTGCGGCAATTGAATAGTAAGTCGTTTTCTCGACTGTTTTATATTCTTGAGAATCAGTATGATGAGTACAAACTTTAGTAAAGAAACGATAGGAATTGCCGTCATAAAGACATGTTTATTGTCTTGATGAAACAAGGTTCCCTGAAACGAATAAAATGCATATGGGCTTATTTTGATGGCGTTGATTGATGTTTATGATTGTCTGCTTTCTACATTTAACAGAACGAGCATGATAATTGATGCGGGTTTATGCGGCCCGATGAGGTCAAGGCATCGGCTGAGATATCCGGGAAGCCAATTTGTTTCGAATCTGCGTCGATGCCGTATGTTGGGTCTATATCATGCCTTACGTACATATACCATTTGCATGCATATGATCTACGATGATCAAACTCTCGTTTTCTCTTGGTGTATTTACTGTTACAAGAATGAGAGTTCAAAATTAAAAATACGCGAGCAAGTTCTTGATGTATCAAAATAATTAGTTGATGTTTACTTTTATTCGTAGGCTTCGTCTACCATTTTAGATCGATTCTCAATTCCGTAACGTTGTCTCCACTTTCAACCTCAATATGTTTTATCCCTCTTACCCGCGTGCAGTTTGGGCAGAATATTACATCAGATGGTCTTCACAGTCGAAACTATCCAATCGCTTCAGCAGGTTGGGCAGCCACAGTCAACTTCATAATCAACGAGAAGTCAAACTAATCTTTCGCAGGTTTCTCTTATCATCCCCCTATGTAGCTAAATACCTTGTCCTTATAAGATTAAGTCAATGTTCAAGACTCGACATAATAGCAATGTGTTGTTTAAGAGTCTTTATTTTCCCATCGCTATTGCAGTTGTGATTAACTTTAAATCTCTAATGAGCATTGGAATATCAGAATGGTAAATATGAGTTGTGCAAAGTATTCCTTGAAATAATTTTACAAAGCAAGCTTGTATGAAACGGCAAGTCTATAGTGAGATCGTTTATAGTCTCCACTTCTTATGATACCAACTATTTGAAAACAATTGTCTCTAAACCCGTGTCTCTATAATCACCAAAGAGGGGCTGTAAAAGTCGACTGTAATAAAGTGATAAAAGAAACCGCGTTTGCTCTTCAAAGGAGAGGGGCAGTAATTCTTCGCGCACTCATGTGAGAGACAGGATGCGTGCTGTGGTGTGAATAGGAAAAATTACAAACCTACCTTAACGATTATGCCCTAGATTTTAGACGGTGTCTTATTATAGGGAGAAATTTCAGAAAAACCGCAAGCTTCTAGATAAGAAAGTCAAAATGTTCTCCCCCACCAGAATCAATAAATAATAATGACGCGTGGATGTCTTCCAGTCAAAGTATTGATACCATAGGAATGCACTTTTGAATAGTGACTTTTTGTATATTTATTTGTATTATACTCAGACATCTTTTTAATGGTAAATAATTGATGCTAAGTAAACAAACTTGTGGCATTGTAAAACTCTACCATTTTGACCCTTGGAGCTTTAAATTAGCTAGATTTCATTGTCGTAATTGCTAAAGTTGACCTAAACAAAATGAATTCTTTTCATAGGAAATCTTTTCCTTTCCGTTTTGGTAAAGGACACTGTTAATTTTCTTTATGATCATCATCCAGGTACAACACTATTTAAAGTTAAGTTATTGCGACTTTTTCAAACTATTAACGAAGGGGTAAAAGTAATCGCATCATAATCATTTGTTTACATGGATCGACTGACAAGCAATCATATCCCATATGAGAAATTAATATGAACAAGGACGGTTGAACGTTCACAAGGTTGGGGAGATTACGGAGTGTAATTTCCCTTTCCCTTTCCCTTTCCCTTTCCCTTTTCCTTTTGCTTACTTTGCGCGACATGGCATATGATGTAATCTGGTAATTATAAATACTATTTGATTCCATCAGCCACGTGAATAATAAGTGGCGTGACGGCATGATAACCTTGACATACATATATGGTATTATTGTTCATCAGGTTTCCAGCGTTCCCAGTCCCTGTATCTGAAAGTTCGGTCACTTAATTCGTGCACTTTATTTTTGTTCTCCATTTGCTTTACTATATTCGTTTTCGTTTATGCTCATATGAATCGCACGCACAAAAAAATACACTTTCAGCCATCGAGACATTCCCACCATAGCCAAATCCATCGACAACATATTTTACCAAATATGGATAAATTTACTGAGAATGCACCACTCAAGTTTGGTGTTCTCATTCTAACCCCACAAAAACACAACAGATAAACATAGTACCACACCATAATATTGGAACTTTGTAGAGAGAAAATCGCAATTTGTCATGATGATAGTGATAATGCATCGCTTCAATACGTAATTACGCCCAATTCAAGCTTGAGCAGATTCTTAGTATGTCCATCATTTGATGAATACGAGCCAAACATTACCAAAGCAAAAGATTTGTCATCTATTATCTCGCATTTTATATTGTATGCAAATGGGTTGTATTACAATGATAATCGAGTGGAGTCTATTTATAAACTTAAAACTTCCAAATATATTGACTGAAATTGATGACGTAATTTTATATTGGTTCCCACCTGAGAAGGCGTTAGTATTTCAGATATTTGCTGTATGAATATTCGGTTTATATTATCACTGGTTGTGTTCATGGGGTGGGGTCGGGGTCGGGGGGGGGGGTTAAAGTGAGGAAGAAAAAGGGGGGGGCTGTACCAAATTGAGGAATGGCAGCGTGGGGATGAGCATGTGGTCCATCCATATATTAGGTGTAGGTCAAATACCCGTTCTATATATTGTAAAGACAAATACACCGAATGACAAACAAATTAAATTTCTTCCTCATGGAAAAATATGTTCGTATGTTACGGGCGATGGGGTAATGAGCAATGTGTAATGGTAACGTAGAGCTGTTCAATTGAATAATGTAACCATGGGCATTCAGTCTGTCACAGAAGAGAGTTGGTGCTCATATATGATCTGCTAAATGCAGGTCTGTTTATGTTTAAGACAATTATACTGCAGTGAAGAGAAGGGGAGATGGATGGGCAACTGGGAAAACGTAAAAGACTAGAAATCATCGATAACGTATGTATAGCAGCAGTAATGGCATGTGAAGTAAGGTAATCGTTAAAACCGGTAGTAATCATCATGTATGAAATGAGATGATCGTCATTTTAATAAATTCTTTGTTTGAGCAGCGGGGACAGTTGCTACTGACCTGCAAACAATGCTATCTGAACATAGACGTTACATACTCGCCACATACCAAACAATATGGAATTGTCATAAAAATAATGATGGAAGGTAAGCACTTGATATGGAAATAACATTTCGGGGTGTTAACGGTGTTAACAACAAATGTGCACCAATTCGTAATAGCAGAATTAGATATAACAAATCACAATTTATTCGCTTGTCTTACATAATGACTTGTTTTCCATCTAACAACCCTTAGTCACAATTGCTTTGTTGTTATTGTTGTTATTGTTATTTATTATGTTATTCTTGGGCCGGGTTCGGTTACTGATGTCATCATCTAATCCCATTGGCCATTGATGCAAGCAGAAATATCCAATTTTGATGCGCCGAATAATCGCCCGCATCTCATTGAGGTTTTTTTTACGCCTCCCCGAAACAGTAACCTCCCTTTTTGCACCAAATTAATAAAGGTTAATAAAATAAATACTTGCAGCAAACCTGTTGACAAGACTTGTGGAGGCCAATAGAAACAAAGATAATATCATCACCCACTGTTCATGCATGGTTATTAAATTGGTGGTTGTTAAGCCACCGATTAGTTAGATTCTTAACTTCGGTCGTTAGTTGTGACTCAAAATAAAATACCGTATATAAATGGATATTCTACAATGCATTTATTTATTCGCAAATAATACATCTCATATATATTATACAAAATCACAATTACGACATCTATTCTGTATTTATGTAACACAATTTCCATTAGGGGCAAAGCCGTGCAATATTCCACAGTATTTCTCCCTATATTTCACACACCTCCGCCCACGCCTTTTCTTCCTTCCTCTCCAACCGAACTCCACCAGCAACCATCTGAACAGCGCTTCCCGGAAAGAAGTTATTTAGATCTCCATCCAAATACACCACGCTGGAACACCATTATTACCGCAAACAACTCGAGAATACACAAACACTAAAAATAAAATAGCAAAAAAAATTTCAAACTTCAATAATAGTATCCATATCTCTCATATCAGTCCAACTCTTCCAAACTGTTCTCTCTCAAACAACGGTTTCATCTATCAACCTTCCCCCATCCAGGTAAATTTCTATTTACAACAAGCGAAGAGAATAACTATTGCTTGGCATTATCGATGGCTTGTCATCCGCTTGCAAGAGCATAAACTGTGTAGTATAACGTCTTGTGTGCGAGATTATAATTTCGTAAAGTTTATACATACCATACCATCTTCCCCTCGTTTTTACTTCCGTAGCCCTTACTCTTGTTTGTATGCTGTCGTCCTCAGACGCAAGATACATGCTAATTCATTATTATACCCAATACTGCCTTTTAATTTACCACCGCACTATTTTAGGCTTTCAAAAGAACAATCGAAATACTGGACTCTTCTAATTCCCCACTTAAAGACATTTATAAAAGGACACTAAAATATAAAAAATGTCTAAAAGTATAGCAAAATCAACACTCTCTGCTCCTGTGGTTCAGAGCAGGCTCGAACACCACCACAATCAACAGCTCCGCATTAAACCTATCAGCCACAAACGCTCAAATTCGAAATCAACACCGAAATCCAAACGCCACTCCCACCCCAAGGAGCTCTCACTATCAACAGCTTCGACACCTATTGTTATTCCTCGCATCGGTCGTGGTGATGATATTGACATTGATAGAGATTCAAGCATCGAACAAAACCGTTACCGTTTGGTAGAGAATACCCAAAGCAACGATGAGGCAAGAACAGGGAAGCAGTCCAATTTACAGCGCAAATCAAGCAACAACAGACGAAGGTATCAATCTGATTCAAATGACGAAAAACCGATAACTATCCTCAAGCGTTCTCAGTCCATTACCGACCTCACCAAACCTTCCCATCCAATCCGTTCCTATCCCGACGAGGATGCTGTCGAGCGCCAAACTAAATTGGAGAAGCCGTCCACGCCCCCTCCATATTCGTCCCGTCTTCAGTCAAAAGAACGTCGTCGCTCGGATATTCAACCAGCTAAAACGAAGCGCTCTCAACATCGCAAAGACATCAAGTCCGCCAACGATGTCTTTAGTCTTCTCGTCAACACTATGCCTCAATCGCAAGACAAAGATACATTCACTACCAATGTAAATAGTACTATTACTACTAATCTCCCGCCATTCAACCAAAATACACGAATGTCAGGAACTCCGGTAAAAGACACCGATTCTTATGTCTTTCCTCCGTCAACTCACAATGGTCGCCGTAGAATGTCCAGCACTGCAATAGAGATTAAGCAACATGTGCAACAATTCTCCGATTCAAAATCGTCTTCAGATCTAAAATCAGTCAGACATAATCGTCCAGCGAGCACTCCGGCCAAGCAGCAATTGTATGCGGGACCTGATTTCCATAATGCTCCTGCACCTAGCCAATTGCCGATCCCATCATTTGTAAGCAAGTCTCTCGGAAAAGAAAGGTCACTTTTGGAGGACAACTTGTTTGGTGTTGGTAATGTTGGAGCCAGCAACGATGCCAGCACCGCCAACTCTTCCCCATCAATGTTTACAACACCTCCGCTCACTCCTCCGACTCCATCCTTTGTTCTCGATCGCGCTTACGATGATGACCTTTTCATTATGGATGATGTCCATGTAGTTAACAATACATACGATGATGCTTACATCAGACAGCAACAGTCCATCCAACTTAAAATGATGCTCGCTAGTTCCAAAGAAAAACAAAGCATCGCTCATAACGCTCCCGCTACCTACCAACAGTCCGCTACCATGGGGGCTTACAACGTACCTCAGAAAATGGCCACTGCTCGTCCACTGCACGTCTACGACGATACTCAAGGAATGTCATTGACAGAGATTTCCGAAAGTCTGAGAAATTTGTTGAAGATTTCCGGACATTAGAATATGCAAAGGCGATCTTGTTGATAAGGAGTTGGATCTAGTGAGTTGACAAGCTAAGACATGAATAATCAATCAAGCATCTTGTTGATTGAGTAGAATAGGAATCAATTGTCATTGGTGATTCCTCGACGGAGATTACTTCTTTCGTGTTCATTAATTTTGGGTTCATTACTCATATGACCCATTTTGTACTTTTAGATCTGGCACATATTTCTAGTTCTCTAAACACACACAACCCCCCCTTTTATTTTTCTTTGCATATTATCTTCGACTTCAATATAAACCTTTTTTTTTTTCGTTTCCCCCCTTTGTTATTCGCACCTGTACATTTTTTTGTTGCAAGTTTCCCTTTTCTACAACATCCTTTGTTTTAATACTCCTCTTCGGTTTATTATCCAACCTTCCCTAATATTAAACCCACCATTATTTCCCCTTATTGTGTGCTTTATATTAAACTCCCTTTTCGATTCACCCCTTTACCACTCATCATATTTTCAACATCAGCATAGACATACTACATAGTTTCTTGTTTCTTTTTCGCGCGTCCTTATACTTGTTTATTTGTTTCTTCTTTTGGGACAGTCTGGATTCATGTTGTCGAAAAAGATTATCTACTGTCGAACCGCCGTTACTTCTAGAAAGTGCCATTTACCCTCCCCTCCCTTTTTACCATTACATACCAATATATTGACATCATCCAAACATTACCGCTAAATAAAAGGACACTTGGTAGTGGGGCGGTTCTCGGTTTATTAATCTTCTTCGCGATATAGAATGTGCATGTTTCTTAATATGGGAATTCTTAGTTGTTGGGAAAAGTTACTTTTGTAAATAACTACAAGCTCTTTTTTCCCTTCTTTTTAATTATTCTATTTAATTCCCTCTTAGACTCAATATTTCATTTACCCCCTTCTTCCCTTCCCCCCTCTTGTATACCTCTTTCTTTTCTTTTGTACATTCTTGTATGGGTCCCCTTTTTCTCTTTATATTTCTTCATCTTTTTATATCTTCTGCATATTTCTGAAAGTGACTACTAGTGTTTCGCTCGTCTTTTCAAAATGTGTATTCGGTGAATTTATTGGGAAGATGTGAAGGAAACACTTTGATAGATACTTTCGTTTTCTCCTTCCCCTTTTAAATTTCTTCCCTTTTTAATATCTTATCTCCAATCAATCATATTAGACTGGGGACTAATTAATATGGTGGGTTTCAATTACACAAAAGTTTCTTTTATTTCAAAAGTAATCCGGACATTATTTAAAAGCGGTGGTTCATTGATCGCTTTGAGTTATCAAGAAGTGATGTTGACGTTTCTGCACTTCTTGTCTGAATGTCGTAATATCATCGTTTCAATTTATGTTAAAATGTATTTCACGATGATGTTCCGAGAGACGGAGTAATTTTAGCGTCTAGGACACATGTTCATTTTCTTTTTACGTGCAACGAGTCGGTTTCATGTTTAAATGTACATAGGGAAGGTGCCCATTCTTCCTCGTTCTTGGTTCCTTTTTAACACAATCGATTTGAAGTTCTGTCATATTTCTTTCGAAATCGATCTTGTATTCAGTTTTTTTAAAAAAAAATATTAAGAAGAATTCGCTCTTTGTTAAAGTTATCTTCTTTTATTTCCAAATCAAGTGTACGCTGTTAGCTGTTTATTATCATCATTCTTTGCTTTAAGAGGACAGTTCCTGCATAAATCCTCTATTTTTTTTTTCGTATCATCCATTCCTTCCAATTCAGTCTCTTCTAATTGTGATTTGTAAATTTTGTAAGATGAATGGAGTTGCTTCATATGATTTTTGAAAAGAAAGCGTTTCTTTTTTTTTTAAGAAAAGAAACAAAAATAAAGAAAAAAAAAAGTGATGATGACCTTCAAAAGAGTAGTCTCTGTTTGGTTGATTTTTGCGGAAATGTTCGATCTATGATCTAATATTAATATTACTATTTTCGTGCATACTTGTATTCTTTTAGTAATCCGATGTTCGGCATGAATAAGGTGGTACCAGCATTGGACTACCTAATTTGTAATTCGGCAATTTATTTTATTATTGTTTCATCGTATGCCACATCGCCGAGATTTTTAAAAACCTTGTAACAATTATGCAGGATTCAGTTTCAGTATGCATGCACAGATAATGCATAAGTCACATGGTAAAGTACTTACCATTTGAATTGGTCGTCCGAGACTAAATGATAAAGAGGTCCACCTTAGTTGCGTCTAATAAAGGACACGAAACCGAGACTAATTGATAAGAGAAAGCCCTCTTTCTTTAGAGAAACAAACAAGTTTGAGATATGAAACATCGGAATGCATGTGCACTAGTGAGAGAGTGTATTTAGGCTTTCAACTTGATGATATTATAGTAACAATTGATTACCATGATATATTATTAAGAGCGATGGCTTCAGATCGTATTTGCAAGCTTTCGTGTGATCCAAGTGGACTATGACGTAATTAATGACCATCAATATATGTGTGTACAATATATACATAATACCATTATTGATGCAATTTGAGAATAAACTCACGGATCAGCTGCGCAGAGCGTCCGACAGTTGATCCCAACGCAGTAAGATTGCATGATGTGCCAATTCATGCCCATCACCGAAATGACAAGCCGTATTTTAAAAACACATAAGCCTCTACTGTTAAATTTATTTTTACCATCCATAATTACTTTCAAAGCATGTGTATAATAAAGGTCAATGATGAATAAAGGTGACAAGCTTTTCATGCCTAGACTAGTATAGATTGGCTACATTTGTGAGAAGAGTTATTTATACTCCGGCACAAAAGAGCACAAGACAAATTGCGAGGCTGTAATTACTATCTATTCATTAAGGCTTAGGCAACGCACCCGATATGCTTGGGTCGACTAACCCAATACCCAGTTATGCTAAGAATTATACCCATCAACGATTGATTTTACTACAAGTCCATTTATAATCACCATGATTTTTACGTTTGACATACGAAAGATTCGATCCAACACTTACGAGGCAAACAAAGAACAGTTTGATGCTTTTTTACCCAGTCAAACCGGGACGTTTTTATTATCCGAAACACTTACAAACAAAGAAAAAAACCTATCCTAAACTGAATTCTCTATATACTAAACCGTTCTCCCATTCCCACTCACGCTTGAGCATCAAACTCGTTGAAAACCAAAAGGTTGGGTGTGTTTGAAGGAATTTTTTCGAGACGTCCTGGAGTAGCGTGCTTGACAATCCAGTCGGTAACTTGCTTTGGACTTGGTGGAGAAGTGACAAAGTCCGAGGTGAATTCTGGTTTCAAGCCAAGCAAATATGCTGCAAGACCGGCCACATGGGGAGATGCCATTGAAGTACCAGAGATTGTGTTTGTAGCGGTATTTGAGCCAATCCAGGCCGACAAGATGTCCTTTCCCTGTAGTATCAGATTGAATTGGGTTAACAACATGAAGTAGAATATACAGCTATGCAATTGCTGTCGGCGGAAAGAGGTTAACTTATACTTACTGGAGCGAAAACGTCGACGCATCTACCGTAATTGGAGAACCAAGCACGTTCATCTTCGATAGTGGAAGCGCCAACTGTGATTGCGTTTTCAGCGGCTGCTGGTGATGAGTCACATGCATCACGGTTATCATTGCCTGCGGCTACGACAAAGTTAACTCCAACGTCAACGGCCTAACAACGTATCAGAATATGCGACATAGTCATGATTAAAGCGTGTAATAAAATTGTATTAAATACAACATCTGACTCAATCTTTGACATTGTGACGACAACGCTTAATAATATACGTACCCCATTGACGGCAGCGTCCAAAGACTTGCTTCTGCCTCCTCCCAAACTCATGTTAGCGACTGAACCCCTGAATGGTTTTCCACTTTTTCTAGCGTTGTCAGATTCATTTTCATGGTATTCAGCAACCATTTCTACCCCCTTGATTACATCACTCATAGTTCCCGAACCGTTTGATCTCAAAACTTTGATGGCAACAATGTTAGCCTTCTTGGCAACACCATATCGCGTTCCAGCAACGGTGCCAGCAACATGGGTTCCGTGTCCGTTGCCATCGACATCTTCATCACCATCTGGCACAGTAGTACCCCATTTGGCACGACCACCAAAGTCAGTGTGGTTTATGTTGACGCCGGTATCGACTATGTAAACAGTAACACCTTCGCCAGCAGTCGAGTCGTATAGATACTTGTTGAAAGTACCAAACGTTAAGGCATTACGATGAGATATACGCGCGAGTCCCCAAGGAGCGTTGAGTTGGACTTCTTCGGAATAGACGACTTGATCTCTCTCTACGTAAGCGACCTACATAAGGAAATTGATGAGTTAGACTGTAATAGGCGATGAAAGTGCAATGATGATCATTCAATGATAATCTATTTGTTAGGTTATAGCAATCAGACATTTAAGGTCAAGATCGCCGTTATTATAAATTGAGGGTTACACTATTACTGCGACTACTGCGACTACTGCGACTTGGTTCAATAGCAATTCTACTCGACATTCTCTATATACACGTGTACCTACTTCGTCACTCTCTCTGATCTTGTTTAGCACGTCATCTGAGAATCTACCAGAGTAGCCTTTGAAATCCTTAATGTCATAAGTATATCTTATTCCAGATATAAGTTTAGCCATAAACCCTCGCTTTTCCTTTCTCTCTTCTGTGACCATATCTCGGACAACATTATGGTGACAGGTGATTTTTTCTTTAGGCGTTTGGTCTTTGAATACCACAATATATTGGTCGGGGACTACTTCTGCGTTTGGAGGAGTAAAGAGCGGTGCAAGAGTGCCCTCTTCACGCTTGGGCAGAGAAGGGACTGCCACGACTGCCGAGAACAACAGCCCAGCAAGGATAATGACACTTTTCACCATTTCGTAGTCAAGTTAATGTATATCGTGGTAATATAAGGCAGAGCGAGAGGCTTTTTCACGGTTAAGGATGAACAGCAAACAAGCCTGAGTATAATTAGATGACGGGCGGAAGTTTATATATGTGGGAAGTGATAGATAGTGTGACAACAATTTATAAGAGGCGATTGTCTTGTTCGCATTGACAGCCCAGGACCCCACCACCCCCCTTGTGCTCATTTCTATCTTTGTCATTTGTTGATCAATCGGTATACACCGTTTATATTTAATCACATGACATGCGTGGGGCAACGGATTCGGTTCTTCATTGGGAAACGCAACAATCGAGATGATCTCGGTTGGGCGTATCTGTGATCTGGCGTCATGTACTCCTCCTTGAAAGAGAACAGAATTAGCTTTATGTTTTACATACGTTCAACAAGTACTCCTCCACAAATACAATGAATAGCTATCGGTAGAATTAGGGGTGAAAATAAGCGAAAGATAACAGCTTGTGCATACATGATTTGTAAATATTAATATATTCTCATTAATATATTCTCATTGATATTTGGCATTAATATTTGGGCTATTTTTAAAATCATTTTTAACTCGATTAGAAATATAAACTCTTAAAAGTTGCTCCCTACATAATCAATTTACCCCGTTGATGCAGACTGCAAGCGTAGTTTACAAGACCTTTCGCAGTTATTCTAGAGAATGTATTCTCACAAATCACTTTCACAGTGGAAACTTGTTCTTCGATAGCATAGAGAATTTCTTCCCTGAGACTGCTTCAACTACTAAGCATTTGTGACTTGCGGCGACTCTGACTGTTATACGTCTGATGAGTATATCACCCAGACACGAGTATGCAAACTTGTATGTCACCCAAAACGTACATTCCCTCTAATTTATTGAACTGGTCTTAAAACCGGCCTTTAATCTCGAAGGAAACTTTATCTCGTGTATCTCGTCTAACTAAAAGCGAATGTGGATACTGTAATGTTTGCTCAATCGGGTAAAACTAAGCGTCTTATTATTGGAATACACGTGAAAGTTACAATGGTGACAAGAGAGTAGGTTAAATCTTGTTTGGGGCATGCTGCGGACAAAGTGAACGTCGCCCACAGGGGTTCACAACTGCTAGATAATCAGAAATAATAATAGTATTAAAGCACAAATCGTATTGTTAGATATGTATTTATTTATTTAATATTCGGTAATACGATGAGATACGCATCTATATCTAGTCAATCAGTAGAAATGGAGATAATGCAAATTCACTCAACGGAAATGTTGGTTACGAGGACGCTACAACATTTGCTTATGATTGTAAACGAACGAGTGTGGTTTTAATTTAACTTTAATTAACTTTTGTCTGGATAATTCATGACATAATTACTTAGTCCTAGGTATGACGACGAGATCGCGTGTGTGAAATGATTTTTACAGTGTTGGTTGCAATTATCCATTTTAGAGAGTGAGTACTATTACTATAGCAACACTACTCACAACGGCCGCAGATCAAGTGTATTTTCATTTTATAGCTAGCCCTTTTTTTAGTCCCTTTACTTTGTCTGTATTAGTACTGTGTTGTTACATTCATAAAAATGGTAAACCAGAAGACCGTGACCTTGGATCGCGTGCTATTTACTATGTTTTATGTAGCAAGTATCACGTTTGCATGATTTGTTTCAAATCAAACAAAACATACTAATTTTCATATGGTATTTGGATCTGTCATGAAAGCAGTTTTGTCTAATGCACTAATGTTGAGGTTTTCCCAAGCCGGACACCTGCTAATTGCAATGTAGGCTTGACCTGGAGAGAATACACAGAGACTCTCTTTATAGTGTATCAAAAAAATCTATTAGCAAAAAATTCTCAAAAATCCACTATATCGAGGGTTTTTGAAAATTAATTAGTAAATACACTATATCGGATAGAATTTATTATAGACGGTTTGAACCTCTATCCACTATATCGCAATTTTAATTAGTCTCCACTATAAAGGAGGTCTACTATAAAGTATAAAGAGCGGCACTGTGTATGTGATGGTCTAGTGATATAGTTATTTTTTGTAGTGTTAGACCTTGAGTTTTGTGTATTGTTAGAACAAATGAATTTTGTAGAGGAAACTGAGTTCGAGAAGCTTTTTGTCCTGCAGCGTAAAAGTAGGAAGTGCATTGTTGTATCCAGTGGTGGACTATTGCATTTTGTATACAAAATGCAACTTGAACAGTGTTTGCATTTTTATTAAAGTCAGTAATGATGCCAATAGTTCCATTGCAGATACCTTTTTCTATGAGGGAGTTGTTTAAGAACATTACACGCAATCCTTGTTGAATGCGTACAGTCAGTTTTTAATTTGAGTAATGACTGTGTAGTTTCAGAGTTTTGTTTGATGCCATTCAAAAAGTCTGTCACATCAGATATGATAAATTTGGCGTTTCCCACAGGCAATACATTGTTTATGATGCGGTTTATCTGTTCTGCGGTTTGTTTATATGGAACAATATGTGTGGTTGTTTACGAGTGATCCCAATGTGAGGCAGGGGTTGTATGAGGTTGCCTTTTGGAGGAGTTTGTTCCATGTATTATCAGAAATGTTACCTAATCTGATCTCTTGTAATATTTTGTAGAAACATTGTTGACGTTGCGGTTGTGTCAGAAAAAGTGGGTAGAATAGGTGCCATACAGGAGAGTAAAAACGGGTTCGCCACGTACTGGAGGTAATTGAGCTAAATCGCCAACGACAATAATATTAATACCGCCGAATGCTAGGTCATTGTTGTGAATGGACGCGAAGAGGTTTGATATGAATGTGAAGAGTGATGCGGATACCATTGAAACTTCGTCGATAATTAATGTGTTAATTTTGCAAGTTATTGTTTGAATTGGTTATCATAAAATGCTAATGTTTGATAACCTGCTTCGGATTGGTGTATTCGTAAGGCAGAGTGAATTGTCATGCCATTCATATTTTGCGCAGCAACACCAGAGGTGGTTGGAATTTTTTGTGATTAACCATGTTTATGATGTATGATTTTCCAGTTCCTGCAGAGCCGGTGATGAAGAAATTGGGTATTTGTTGTTTGAGATGGGTCCTAGGTATTGGTTATGGTATTAATAGTTTTGTATTGTTCAGTAGGTAGGTCGAGCATTGCTGTAGTCGGTAGTATTGATGGCAATAGTTTCATCGCATTTAATTGTATTTCCAAAATATCAGCAATTTTTGTGGAAATAGGGGTAGCGAGTTGATTAATTAAATTGTTTACGATTCTGTTAAATTGTACTTCGAATAGTTGACGGTAGGTTGCGCGAAAATTTGTTGATGTTTGTAGCATTACGTCAAGGTGAGGGTTGAGATAAAGATAGTGATCGTGGTATGCTTCAAAATTGGCGAGTAATTCATTTTCAGTTCGGCATGGTATTGTACAGAGTAGTTGTTGATAGAAAAACATTTCTCCATCTTGATATTTTAGATATCGAAATCTTGGGATTATTGGTGATGAATTATAAAGATGAAAAATAATAGCTAGCGTGAGAAAAAATCCATCAAACAACGGTTAATAAATTGAACGCTTGATCGTTATGCGAAAGCTTAGACTTTTGCTTTGCTTTGCTTTGCTTTGCTTTGCTTCAAATGACTAACTATTTAAAGTATAGTATAGTATATAAAAACGGGCCCCATACTTCATGGCGATCGCTAGCCATTAATAGGAAGTACAATATTTAGTCGTAACCAATAATTAAACGTCATTAGACGTCGGTAAAGCTTCGGATAATCACATGAATTTGGTATGTAGCATAATAATAATAACGTTAATTAGCCCTTCCACATCACGTGAAAGATACTATAGGTTTGTGATCGCGAACGCGTAGTAGCAGAGCTTCTATTCTGGCTGTCTCGTACCAGATAAAAACTTAACATGTCAAGGCTCTTCGACCAACCCGCAAAAAATTGGACATATGATGCCATCGTGGCAAACTATTGTATCGACGATAATGTTGGTCGCGCTCTGAACGGTATTAAGCAGGACCTTCAGCAACGTGCAGAGAGAGGAGATTGCGATGCCGCGCAAGCGAAAAAGATCCTGACGTCCGGCTGGCAAGTATGTAAAGCATTGCATAAGTTCAGATGTCTTTTGGGTATCGTAGCATCTAGCTGGGTTACTGCGTGTCGCCTAGTGATGGTCGCGTTCCGATGCTTCTTTGGCAGCTAGCTGGGTTACTGCGTGTCGCCTAGTGATGGTCGCGTTCCGCTGCCGAAGGTGCCCAAAGGATCTACGCGAATACTATCTGACATTCTGACTATGTATTATATCGACATTTCTTTTCGCTTGAACAAGCAACTAGTCAAAGCTGTGAAAACCCACTCAAATATTAGCCAAATTAGGGTGAGTATGTGAATTCCTGCTCAGTAATCCCTCAAACAAACACTTATCGTTACAACTTATAGCATAATGCAACCATTGCTGCTTTCACGGATGGAGCGGAATCAATGTCGAAGACTCGCACAATAATTCTTAGTTTGATAAATTGATGTCAAACAATGAAGCTGGTACTGTCCTCAAGCGCAAAGCTGTCAACATTGATGACAGTTATTTCGTAAGTGTTATTGCTACTATTGCTGTCTTGAAATATTTCGCTGGACATATTGGTTCATTCTTGTGCATTGAATAGCTTGCTTGTCAGTATGTCTTGTTCGTTGATTAATGATTTGTTTTTTTTCAGATAGCTAATGCCTTTCCAACAAAAAGAGATCCTCTACACCTTCACCAGTTTTACAGCCATCATCACCCACACCATCCAAAATGACCAACATTTTCTCTGATGAAGATGATGAATCTGACGTATTTATTTCTGATACTAAATTTGCGTTTGACTGCCCCATAATAATCAATGATGTTATAGGACTAAATTTGGGACCATCACCTCGAAAAGAGTCCAGATGGTTCATAAGTGGCATGAATGTCTCTGAAAAATGGCATTTGTTTAAGAAAAAGTCATTGGAATTGGCAAATAGGGATGGCCTCTTTGTGGAAAGCCACACACAACAGATATTGTATGCTCAGTTTTTGCATTCACTAAATTACTGTGGAAACTAATTGCAATTATCTTCACTATATAGATCCTTATCACACATCCTTTTATTAAAGCCTAAACAACATTGCCCGCTAATGGTGGAGGTTTTCAGTGCTGAGTTATTAGAAATAATGCATAAGGATATCTTACAAAAGCTTACCAAGCAAGAAACAGAGTTTGATGATGAAATATTGATGAAGCTTGTTCGTATTGTCAAGGTATAATATCTTCTTTACACTCATTTGATGTGAAAAAAATTTTATGCACTCATTCTTGTTACAGCGTCTACAACGGAAGGAAATCACAAGAGATAATGCAGTTTCAGAACTGCAAATTCTTGCAGTTGGCCGTTCTTATGGAGAACGTGGAATTCTGAAAGCCATAAGAATTTACCTGCTGAATTAAATTTAATGATTGAGGATTTTGTTGTCTCTGATCATGACAAACTTTCTTCATCCACCCAAGATAACTACAAAAGATTAGTTGGATACTATAAGGATAAAAATCGTTATTTAGAGAATATTTCTTGATTTCAAGAATACATTAATGATTGTGAGCAAGAAAAAGAAAAATATTTAACCAATATTTAAATACTGAAATGTCTGGTGTTAAAGAGTTAAGAGAAAAAGCCAAAGAAAAAGAGATTGAAGAGATTCTTGCTAAAGAAATTAAGGAACACCAAGCAAAATGAGAACAATATTTAGCAACCAAATTTTTACTCAAAAACAAAACTGACTTCAAGCAAGTATTCAAATCTAAAGATTACACAGTGAAACTCGATAAGTCGGACACGACGGGGTGGGCATGGCTGTCCGACTTATCGAGAAATCCGAGTTATCGAGGGACCAATAGAATTTATCGTAGCAAAATTGCCTTTAACATTATGAGACATTTGCTTTC